AGCTTCTCCCCAGGTATGCCCCCCACCCAGCAGCAGGGCTGAGGTTGGGTGGGGGAGCCTTGTCGATGCCCCCATGCCCAGCTCTGGGGACTGGTCTGGGGGCCACGGGGTCGCCTGGGGCAGGCGCAGCCAGAGCCCCAGCCTGGGGGCCCCACGGCTCAGGCCTGGCTGTGGGGTGTGTTGGGCCGCAGCCAGCGCAGGCTGGGCAGGCAAGCGAGGCGGGTGGGCGCAAGGCGCAGGCAGGGCCTGGCACGGGCGGCCGGGATCTCGGCAAAGAAGGCCTGGCGGCGGGGCGGGGGCGCTGTGGCCCCACTCTTCTCCACATCCTCCAGCACGGCCAGGATCTCATGGCGCAGCGCCGGGCTCCGCAGGCCCCGCACATCCAGCAGAGCCACTACATGCTTCCTCCTGTGCAGCAAAGGGACCCATCAGGGACATCTCCCTGCACCTGGGACCCTGGACCTGAGACCCTGGCCACCCCCACCCAAGCACCACGGGGGACAGCTCCCCAACCCAGCCTGCAGGCAGTGGTTGCCTCGCCAGGGCCGTATCAGGCCCCCTCAGACCCTGTGTCAGCACCCATGGTGCTCCAGGCCAGGCCCCGCAGTGTCGGCACCCCCAGGGCTGCCCTGTGGGCCCCTTGTTGTCCCCTGGAGCCGGGGCAGCTTGAGGACGCTGGCCCGGCGTGTTGCAGTGCTTCCTTCCTCGGGCACTTCCCGGAGCCAGGCCGACCTTTCCCCGCCCGCTGCCGGGAAGGGGCTGGGTGCAGGGGGGCTGCCTGGGGCCCAGTTGGAGCAGGGCAGCGCCAGCTGGGCCCCACGGCACTGGGGCTGCATCCCCAGGGCCAAGGGCACAGACAGAAGAGACCACCCCCCAGCCCCAGGGTCTCTTCCCAGTGGGACAAGAGCGGATTTCCCCAGTCCCCAGGGCCTCATCCTGACCGTGGGGCCTGTCCTGGCAGAGGCAGCGAGGGAACAGCCGGAGCTGTGTGTGCACATGCATGTGCAAGGTGGAGCAGAGGGGAGGGCAGGGGAGAATCCCCTGAGCATGGGACGGAGCCTGGAGCCAAGCCCCCTACCCGTGCGGGTCTGCTTCCTGCTGCTCTCCAAAGCCGGATGAGGCAGCAGGAAGGGGGCCGGGAGCGGGTGTGAGACACAGCACACCACAGCTCCCCTGGTGACGCAGGCGCCCGCAGGGCTGGGTATTTATAGCGCCAGGCGGGCAGAAGCTGTGGGGCGCAGGGGCCACATGCCATTGGCCAGCAAAGTGAGGCGGGGAGGCTGAGCGTGGGGCACCCACGTGCCAGGCAGTGCCTGGACCCCACAGCAGAGTCCCAGCCACAGCACCCCGTCCCTGTCCCTGCCAGCCAAGGAGGGAGGTCGGCCCAGGGAAGCTGGGGGGCACATGGCATCTGGGTCAGGCCATCCAGGGGTCTCTTCTGGGCTGGGACATGTGATGCTGGGGAGGGGGGACTGGGCACCACAGCCCTTCCCCCACTTGTGCCACCTCCAGCCCCTGGGGTGGTCACTGTGGGGCTGGGCAGGGGGTGCCACAAACGGGCCTGCGTCCATGCTGGGCATCATGGGTCCCAGTACCCCCAGGGAGTCTGAGTGCGGGTCTGGGGCAAGCGAATCCCAGGCTGGCCCTGCCCCACCCTGGGAGGACCCTCTTGGAGGCTGCCTCTGCTCCTGGCCCCTGCCCCTGTGCCAGGGCAGAGCTGCAGGCAGGGCAGGGCGGTGCGGGGCCCCTCCCTGCCCGTCCAGGAATGGCCCTAATCACCGTTTCCACTTCACCTTTGATCTATTGTTTGTTTGTTCCCGACTGGAGGCTCCCAGGGCCCTGGGACATGCCGGGTGCGGGTCTGGCACCAACGTGCCCTGCCCGCAACCACCTTGGGGGTGGAGGTGGGGGCAGCAACCAAAAGCCTGGAGTGCCAGGCCTGGCCAGGATGAGAAGGCCGTGCTGGGGCGAGCTGGTCCCAGGCCGGAAGGGATAGCACGGGATGCACGTGCCAGGCCAGGGGTCCTGGCCCCAACAGACATGACCCGGAGCCCCCAAGCACTGGGGCCCTGCCGGGGTCAGGGGCTCTGCTGCCCCGAGGGAAACAGGCTCTTTGGGAGACCCCTGGGCCAGGACCCACTCCCTCAAGGCTCCCGCATGGCAGTGGAGGCAGGGACCTTCCCATGGTGGGAGGGAGAAGAGGCGCAGGGAGCTGATAATTGCGTCCCCACCTTTGGTCCCTGCGGGGCCGCACTCCAGTCAGACCACGCCCCTGCCCTGCGCCCCACACTCACCGCACATCGGGGAAGTCCCGCACTAGCAGCCCAACCTCCATCTGCACAGATGCCGTGTCCTCCAGCCCCACGATGTCAGCCAGGTGGGGCACAGCCGCATTCAGCCATGATGCCGTGGACTCCTGGGGGGACGACACTGGAGGGGTCATTCCCACAAGGAAGGGGCATGGCCTGGCTGGGAGGCAGGTGCCCCAGTGCCCACCCATGGGGCAGTGGCTGGAGCCCCCCGGCCTGCACTCACCAGGCGGCTGAAGAGGTCCTGCAGCTGCCGGGCCTCGTCGCTCAGCTTGGCGGCCAGGCGGGCACGCATCTTGGCTGAGGTGCACACAATGCGCACCTGGAGCAGGGGCCGCACGTACTCCACCAGCACCCGCCGGTGCAGCTCAGCCACCAGCTCCTGTGGGGGGCAAGGGTCAGCAGGCTGCCCCTGCCCTGCCCTGCTCCAGCCCCTGTGCGGCTGGAGGCCTTACAGCCCCCTTGGGCCTTGCCCCACACATGAGGTGGGGCAGGGGCTTGTGTGACGGTGGGAGGTGGGAAACTGGGGGGCTGCTCCCTGCCCCCGCCCCCCACAAGGTCCCTGGTGCTGCATTGAGGGGGGGGGGCATGTGAGCCAGAAGCAGGGGGCGGGGGGCACTGGGAGGGGGCACCAGCAGAAGCAGGGCTGGAGAGGGGTGCAGATGGGACCCACCTGGTAGGGTTCGGGCCGCATCCTGCGCAGCCTTTGGGCGTAGTCACGGAACAGGGCGATGATGGTGTCGAAGGCCTCTGAGCTTGTCAGCCATTTATGCTTCATCAGCTTGTTGAAGTAAGGCTGAGGGGAAGCTGGGTCAGCACTGGGAGCCCCTGCACTCCCCTCCCCGCCCCCCCCGAGCCCTGGTACCTTAAGGTCCTCAAGCAGGCGCTGGGCCAGGGCCCGCTGGCAGAGCTGGCTCACCCTGTCTAAGCAGGCGCTGGCCTGGCCATGGGTGTCCTTGCTCTCAGGTGGGTCGCAGCACCCCAGCTGCTCCACAAAGGCCCTGCAGGAGGTGCTGAAGCTGACTGGCCTATGCGACCCCAGGCACCCCCTGCCATCTTGGCACCAGCAGGGGCTGGGCCTCGCTGGCAGAGAGGGCTCAGGGCAGGGGCAAGGGGTCTGTGCTCACCTGAAGGGGGGGCAACAGTTGACTAGGGCAATGGTGCGATCCAGGTAGGCATCCGCAGGGGGGCTGCCTTCACCCTGCCCCGCGTGGAACCGCTCCACCTTCCTCTGGAAGCTGTACCAGGGACAAGGTGCAAGTGAAGGGAAGCTTGGAGCCCCTTGGGCTCACTGCACGCCCCTCCCTGGGGGCTCCCCGCACCGCCCGGAGCCCTGCAACACAGGCCTGGCCCAGCATGCAAGGCATCTTCCTCCTGCCCAGCCCCCACACCCCACCCCCTGGAGACACATAAGGACCCCCACCCTGTACCTCTGCAGGAAGCTGGCCAGACTGGCCAGGCAGCCCCTTGCCATCTGTGCCCCGAACTCGGGTGTGATCTGGGGAGCTCGATCCACGTGCGTCTGCAGCACCTGCTGGGGAAGGGGGTCCCTCTCAGACCTTGCCGCTGGGGTCTGGACCTCTGCCAGGCAGATAGGCCCTGGGGGGCCTCAACCCATCTGGCCCCCCATGGCACTGGGAATCACAGGACCCAGAGTGATGCGGGTGAGGACTGGGATTAGGGTCCCGAGAGCCAAAGCTGCCCTGGGGCTGTGGGCTGGGGGCATTGAGACCCAGACCACTGGGGAGGGCTGGGGCTTGTGCGGCAGTCACAGCCTGGGGCTCATGGGGAGCAGGGGAGTGGTGCCGGGCTGAACGCAACTTGGGGGCGACATGGACACGCCCCCGTACCGTAATCACACGGCTGCTCAGGCTCTCCCGGACGTCTTTGCTCCCCGGCTCGCACCCCCACTGCTCCTCATCCGCCTGCAGCTCCCGTGCCAGCTCTGCCATGATCTTGGCCTGGGGGCCACATGAGGGGGTGGGCAGGGGGCTCGTGGCTCCCCTGCCCCCCAGCAAAAGCCCCCTGGGGCAGTCCCCCATATCTCAGGGTTTCTACACCACTCATGCCCCGCCTTTACCATAGTGACATCCCGCACTCCCTCCAGGACCCAGTACCTCCACGGCAGAGAGACAGGCCTCCTCCAGGCTGCGCTGTGTGTCCAAGGGCAGGAGGGGCCCCAGCTCCTCGGCGCCGAGCAGGGGGGCAATGTCCGGCTGGCCTAGCACCACCCTGTGGGCACACATGCACTGGGGGGTGTTTGGCCACAGCCCCTACCCCACACATAGCCAGGGACCCCGAGCCAAGCCCTGAACCTGGGCAAGACCCCTGCCTCCCACTCCCCTTCCTCTCCTTGGCCTGTGCCCCTGGGGACTCCCAGCAGGGGCAGGGGCAGGGGCAGGGGCAGGGCGGCAGGGCTGGAGTTGCCCAGCGCCATCACTTGGGGTCAACAGATCCCCCCACTCTCCCCATGTTATGCCATGCCTGCCAATATTATCCCATGCTGCCCCATGTCATCCTGTGCTGCCCTGTGTTATCCCATGCTGCACTATGTCATGGCACCCTGTGTCATCCTGAGCTGTCCTGTGCTATCCCATGTTCTGCCCTGCACCATACCATGCTGTGCTGTGGTGCCCTGTGCTATCCTGTGCCACCTTGTGCTGCCCCATGCTATCCCATGTCCTGCTGTGCTACCCTGTGCTATCCCATGTCCTGCCATCCTGCCCTGGGCAGGCACTTACTGGTGGTAGGTGTTGCAGTGCCATTGAAGGAGGGCGTAGAGGTCGGCGATGCTGAGGGGCTGCCGGGCGAGGGCAGCCAGGTGCTGGGCCAGGGCGTGGTGGTAGCTGCGGGCATAGATGCCGAAGGCGCCGTAGGCTGGGGGGTAGACACCCAACTGGTAGCAGCGCAGAGCCCGCAGGTCCCGCACCGCGCACTGCGCCAGCCGGTCCAGCCGGGCGGGCAGGGCCTCAGGGGCATCCTTGGCGCACTGCCCCAGCCGCTCACCCACGGCCTGTGCCACTGCTTTGGCCCAGCGCTCCCGCAGTGCCCGTGGACGCAGCCCCCCCGACCCTCGCGCCACCAGCCAGCGCTCGTCAGCCAGCTCCTCCTGCTCCAAGACGCCCACCAGCAGCGCCAGAGGTATGTAGGGGCCCGGTGCCTGCAGCGCCTCAGCCAGCAGTGCCCACAGCTGGCGCAGCAGTGCCTCATACAGCAGCTCTACATCCTTGGCCTGGCGCCCACCATCCTCCGCCCGCTCGCATTCTGCTTCCAGCTCTAGGATATGGGTATCGGCCGCCAGCAGGTCCCGCCGTTGGATAAGCTCCAGGATCTCTAGCACTGCAGGGATGGGAGGCAAGGCAGGGCTTAACTGGGTCCCCCTGGGATTGGGGGGCAGGGGACTGCGGGCCAGGAGTAAGGGGCATTGCAGGCCTGAGGGGGCAGGGGGTTGAGGGCTTCAGGTCAGGAGTGAGGGGCACTGGCAGGCCTGGGGGGGCAAGGGACTGTGGGTCTTGGGAAAACAGAGCATGTGTCCCAGCCCCTCCCAAGGCAAAGGGCGTCAGAGCCCAGGCCTCAAGAAGCACAAGTAGTTCTGGGCAGACACAGGCAGCTGCACAGGCAATCTGGGACCTGAGGCCTGACAGGGCATGAGACAGCTGGGGGGAGGGGGGAGGTCAGGAGCCCCTAGTGTGGACCTTGCCCTGAGGCCTGCAGCTTCCCCCTGCCTGCTGGCCTGCAGGGCAAAGAGCTCCCGGGTTAGGGGCCATGGCACTGGCTGCAAGGGGCTCTGGGGATCTGGAGACGATGGAGCAAGCAGGGCCCTGCGCTGGGGGATGCAGAGGCATCCCCCTCCTGCCCTGCCCCCAGGGTGCTCCCAGGGGCCCACCTGGCCCAGCTATTTACTGGGATGATAAGAAGCAGGGTCAGGGCTGGGCTGTCCTGGGGTCACAGCCCTGGAGTCCTAGGACCCAACTCCTGGCCCCAAGTCCTGGTAGCCACTGGTATCCCCTAAAGGAGCCCCCAGTGCCCTGTCTGTGACTGCTAGGTGTTACCTTGTGGCCTGTGGCTCCACAGCTGTGTCAGGGAACAACACCTGGCCAGACCCCGGGCCCCGGCTCACCTGACAGCGGCTCCTTGGCCTCAGTGACAGGCTCGGAGTCCAGCTCCGACTCCAGCTCTTCGGCTACAGGTCCTGGCTCAGGTGCCTTGGCAGGGCGCGGCTGGTCAGCCAGCGAGGCGCGGCGGGGCCAGGCACCACGGCCCAGCTTGAGGAAGGCCATGCGCCGGAGGGTGTCACCAGGGCTGTCCCGCTCAGCCTCGCCAAGGCTGGGCTTGCGGCACTGCAGCAGGCTGAAGTCCTCAGAGCGGCGCCGTGGCTTCCGGTGCTTGGGTACCCGCAGGCTGGGCTCTGCCTCAGGCCCCAGCAGCAGGCGGCCCAGGAAGGAGCCACGCTCGGGGCCCTTCTTGCGGAAGGGTGAGAGTCCCACCAGCCGTTCCAGTGTGGCCCGGCGCTGCTGGCACCACTGTTCCCTGACATCCCCGTTGGGCAGCCTGGTGTTGGCCTCCTCCTCCTCGGAGCCAGGTGTAAAGGGGTTGGTGCTGGGCAGGATCAGGGCCTCAGTGCCTCCCACAGGCACCTTCAGCTTAGCGAGGTTCTTCAGGACTGGCATGACTGCGTGCCCGGAGCTGCAGGGGAACGGGGAGGCAGCGTTAGGGTCCGAGGGAGCCTGGAGGCCCCGTCCCTGCCCCCTAGAGACTGGTCCCCGCTGCCTGTCCCTGGTGCCCCCAGGGCCTGGTGCTCAGGGCACCTGTGCATGCACCCCCAGTGGAGAGGGGGCTGGGTCAGGCTGGGCCAGGTCCCTGGGGCCCCATGTCAGGACTGTGCTGTCCTCCCACCCTGGCTGAGCAGCTCTGTGCTGCCTGATCCGGCTGACACAAGTCAGGGCTGCCGGCACAGATTGGGAGGGGCGGAGGGAGGTGTAGCTGCACACGTGAGCAAGGCAGGGAAGGAACCCAGGTGTCTGGGAGTCCTGTGCTGCACTGGAGGGGAGATGAGAAGCAGTAGGGAGGAGTGCCAGTGAGGGAAGAAGTGTGCCCATGGGGTCTCAGGCCCTCTCCCCCCTTCCTATGGCTTGCAGCCCAAAGCAGAGTGAGGGGGCAGCTCCCTGCAGGTGGCCACAAGGCCCCAGAAGGTGAAGTGGAGACTGCCCCCTCACACTAGTGCAAGCCTGAGGCACATGGGTGGCACAGGGATGGAGGCTGCTCAGCCTGGGCATGCATGTGTGTGTGAAGCATTCATCTGCATAGTATATGTGCATGTGTGTATACCTGTGTGTGCATGCATACATGTCTGCATACACATGTACATGTCTGCATGATATATGTATGCACACATATGTGTATGGGTAAGTGTCTGTGTGTGTGTGCATGACCACCCCACTGACCAGAAGCTCCTAATCCACAGGCTCCTGCATCCCCCCCACCCACACCCCCCACGGGGGTCTTGGGTGCAGCTGTCTCCCTCAGGCCAGCAGAAGCCCCAGGGGCAGTGTCATGGGGGGTGGGGAATGGGGGACCAAGGAGGACACAGCCCTGGGGCAAGCTGCACCCCTCCACACACTCCCCACACTCTGCTTACAGGTCCACTGCATGCACATACATATGTATACACACTGCACACATACACACACGTACAATTGCACATGCTGCACACACACATGCATGCACACTGCATGCAGGTACACTGCACACACTACAAATACACAGCAAGTGCACACTGCACATGTTCGCACACATGTGCACACAGTGTATACCATACACATGCACACTGTGTGCGCGCACACATGTACATGCACTATGCACACAGTACATATATGCCCAAGAATGCTGCACACAAGTGCTCAAGTGTGTGCACACAAATGCATGCACCTTGTGCATACATCCATGAATAGTGCACCACCAGGAATGCAAGCCTCTGCACCACATATCCATGATGTGTACAAGCATGGACAGAGAACTGGGTGCATGGCTGCCTGCACATGTCTGCGCCCTGCCTGCACACATGCACCCACGTGGAGACTTGCGTGCACTCTGGCATACACAGACATGCCTACATGCACCCACATAGCCTTACCCACGTTCTGACATGCATAAACATACCTGCATGCACACACGTGTGCACGCACACCCCTACTGGGGAAGGGGCCTGCTGGCTCTCAGATGCCCCCAGTGTGTTGTACCAGCCCCGGGGCCCATATCCGGGAGACGTTACCATCTGCAGAGGGGGCGCAGCTTGGAAACTGAGGAAGTGTCAGCGGGACCAAGCTCCGGGGAGACCATGGAAGGGCACTGCAGCTTGTGCCCCCCCGCCCCGGCCACCCAAGTCCTGCCCGCAGGCCCTGCCTGGGAGAGGGAACTCACGCAGGAGCTCCTCGGGAGGCCGGACTCCTGGGTTCTCCATAGCTCCGGAATGGGACTGGGGCGTGCAAAGCCAGGCGGGGGGTGGAAGCTCTAGCTGCCCATATGGAAGTGGCTAGGGGTTCAAGGGTAGGGTGTCTAGGGGTTCAAGCGAGGCCATCCGGACTCCGCTGTCCTTTTCCGGCAGCGGAAGGGGAGTGGGGTTCAGTGGTCGGAGCCGGACTCCTGGGTTCTGTCCCGGCTGCGTGGTGCAGAGAGGAGGGGATTTTCCGGACACGGCCCCGCGCTGCGAGGGGCAATGGGAGGCAGGCGGACCTGGCGCGGGGACAGCCCCTGGCATGCTCGGGCTCTCCTGCCCGCAGCCCCCGGCCCCGGCGTCCACTGAGCTCCCCGAAGGCGGAACGCGGATGCCTGGGTTCCTTCCAGCCGGCGCCAGGG